GGTTGGACATCTTTGTTTTTAACGCGTAGGATAACATGCATCTAACGTGGCGTGCGTAACGGACTAGTTTTGGACGAGCCTCGCTGTTCGTACAGCACGCGACGCCGCTTGGTCCAGGCAACACGCTGGTGACTTGACCTTTTGTGCTGGAGCTGATCTCGGGTAACACGGGATGCACAGGCCCGAGCTCCCTCATCATACTTGATGCCCAACGGGCAAAGGGGGCATTGCCACCAGGCGGGCCCGTTCTCCAGGTCAGTCACAAGAGACGGCAGCTTGCAATTCTGGGGCTGATGGCCACGCCCACTGAAGCAGGTGTAAACAAGTTCTTCTCTACATCCTGGCCACTCAGCCTTTTCCTCCGCCTTGTGGCATCTTGGTCGCACGCCCATTCCGTAGCCCTGCCTGTGTCCCACGTGTCCGGGAAAAAGAATGTGTGGGCGGACGAGCTCAGCAGGGACAAGCTCGATAGGTTTCGCTCCAGGCCACTAGCCCGCTTCAGCTTCTTGCTGCGTCAGCTCTGCCAGCCCGAAGGCATCACTCTGCATCCCCCACACGCCATGTGGCGGGAAAATTTTGTAGACTCAGCGACCTAACCAGCTTCCCGAAGCGGATGCAAAACAGTCCGTGTGCCACGGTTCTTCTTGCAGCCCACAGTTGCAATAGCCTTGCAGCCCGCATGGTAGCACAATGCTGTAAACCACACCTGGACTCAGGCTACTTCAGAACGGCCGCGAACACAGCACCTCAGCCCGCCTGGCAGGTCCTCTGTTTCAGCCACTGAAGCCTCTTTCGTGTACCCCTCAACGGTCGCAGCCTCAGCCTTAGTTCCTGCGCAAGCAACCCTCACGCGGAAAGGGGTCTCAGGGGCAGGGCCGCAGCCTCCCGCAGGGACAGGGTTGCTCTGAGTCACTAAAGAGGGGGTGGAACGAAAGGAGACACGGGCTTGAGACCGCAGCCTTTCAAGCCCTCCTTTGCTACACACTCAGAGCAACCCAGAAAAAAGGTGCGAACTTCTGTTGCTGTTTTAGTGGCAAGTTTTGAGCCTAGGAGCAGTGCAAGCCCACAGAACCCGGAATCTTGCATAGCACGCTTGCTACGCACGCAATTGCACTATCCAAGACACGCTTGTCTTTAATCTTCCCCAACACTAAGGCACACAGCACCGCACGGCACGCATGCCCGTAACTCTCACATTCAGTTTCACACAAACGGGGTTATGCAATGCCCTCTCTTCACTTCGGCATAATTCTCGCACTCTGTGACAAAAGTGTCCGCTAGCTTTTGGTTTGCTGTTACAGGCCAAGCGTAGGAAATGTCATACTTGAACGTTTCTGAGTACTTTGCGGTCAAGTATTCTTTCCAAGCGCAATTTGACTTTTGAGCAGAATGGAATGTGGACGTGTCCATGTGTGTTTTGCCAAAAAATCAAAATGTGTTTTCAGACCCCGCACATTTTGCCCTTGACGTACATTGGTTGAAGTTGTGCTTGTTGCACAGATGTTGAAGAACCCACGATGGTCTCCCTGACCGGCATCCATGCGGCATCCACATTGTGCACGATGTGGGACATTTTCTTTCGTTGAGGTCACCGCGCAACTTTTTGCGGTGCAGGTCATGTTTCCACGTAAGCAAATGGCTTGCTATGTTTGATGATATTGGCATCTCAACCTCATCGAAACACATTCTTTTCCAATTGCAATTACAACATCCGCGGCACCGTAAAAGATGACTTGATGCACAACCATGGATCCTAAACTTGTTGGCAGTCCCCGCTTGCGCATGTGCGGGAAATGTGCAAACATTGGCATGTATCGTATACCTGGCCTTTGCTCGTGACTACGCGTCCCGCCTTGCAAAGCCGTGTTAGACTCGCAAGGTTGTCCTTTTGATGCTCAGAGCAGCCAAATTTTTCTTCAGCTTGATTTATTGTCAAATATTGTCGAACTGTACACCCGTTGAAAGCCACCTCCGCGTGGAGGACAAAGCTCATTCCAATCCCTTTCCAGCGCTGCGTTGGTTTGGGTGAATCAAGCATAGTCAAGCAGTAATGGGGCACATGTGTGCCAGCCAGTCTCCTCCAGGAGTTGCTTCCGTTTGGGTTCGTCAAGTTGTCGGTAGGTGGCATGTATTGCCATGAAATCTCCGCTTTGCTTGGTTAAGGTTAGCTGTAAGTAAGAATGTGGCATGCTGCAACTGCAGCCCATCCGGGGTGTAGGCCCGTAGTACGTAGGGTATTTGTACAGCTTGGGCATGTGATGAACATCGCCCCACACAAGCTACTGCACCAAGCATGGTTTCTCTGTGGGTCGTGTCGGGAAATTTGTATTCAAAAATCACGACGTGAGGCTTGGTCAGCTGAGTTGACTTGAATGCAATTCATTGATTCACATGATTTAGAATTAGCTTTCATTTTTGCTTTGCAAGCACAACTTGATTTTTCATCAGAACTAGTGTGAGTTCGCGTTTTATATACGGGTTCCAGGCATGTTCTTCATGTCAGATTAGTGCACAAAATGATGTCTGAAATTTTGTTGCACATTGCCCGAGCGTTTAGGCATGAAGCAAGGAATGCCTCCGTTAATCCTTTTACCACCAGACATTAGCGGATTTGGTACCCAGATAGCAGAGCATCTGCGTTGAATGCAGTTGTCATTTGTAGTGTGTTAAGTAAGCAACCGAGTGGCCATGCATGCAAAATGTGTTTAGTTGTTGTCCGATGCAGGTCGGAGGCATTTATGATGTTCCCCGGCTGAACAATAAAATTCCCGCATCTCATGTTATTTGATTTGCTGACGGGTTCGTTGGCTACCACCACACCAGAGTATTTGAGCCATTATCACAGAATCGGTGAATATGGAAGTTGGCTTTCGTAAGCTTGGGAAGATGTTAAAAATTTGTTGTGGCTGGAATCTGAGTGGCATATTCTTTGCATTTTCAAACTTGCTTTGCGCTACGTCATGCCCGCGGCGAGACAAACTTGGGAAATCCATTGTCAAATTGAAGCTGGAATCTGATTGCGATCTGTAAGTGCAATCCAGTGTAAATCATTCAAGCCATTCGTTTTTGATTCAATTGCGACAGCCTTCAAAACAAACGGCCCGGTCTATCGCCCAAACAGCATGGCACCAACATGCGTCATAAACATTTCCGCAATCAGAAATCGGTAGGACTGGGATCGCATATAGGCAGGTAACGCACCTCCGCAGTAAATTTGTTATTGCTCAAGCCTCATGAAGTTTTGGTTCACAAGAAGGTTTGCATATCACTGCAGGTACAGAGTCCATGCCAGCACATGCAGGCGGATGCCCAATGTGTCCAGCAATTTTCATCTGAGGCTGATATTCCATTGAATCAGCATTTCCCGCCTATTTCTTATTGGTAAGACTTTTGGGAAAGCTTGAATTAGAGTGAATCACACAGTTACAGCACTTGAAGAAGCAGAACCATTTACCTGCAGCAATTATGCATGAAGATGTGTCAGCGCCCTCGGCGTTGCACGTGGTGTTTGGCCTTACTTCTGTAGTCTGTTTGCGGACCGGTGCTGCGGCTAGCAACTTAGGAAGCGGCACAACTTCCAAAGGAATATCCCCTCCAGTTGGGCTTGGCATACTTGTTGCTTGCCGTTGCCTTGGTAATTTCTTTGAGCGAGATTGGACAGCCTAGACGTGCGATGTTGGTCCAGGTTGGCTATTTGGCTTTTGCCTTGGTTGATGAGATGGACAATTTTTGCCAGCAGCAGCTATTCACGTGTCTAAGGTTCGAACCTTGTTCGTGAGTTGCAATTTGCCAGCATCCGTCCGGATCTCAAGGATGTTGAGATTTGCTCAATCCCAGCGCCTCGCAAGAGATCTAGATTGTTGCGTGTCTCAGGTTGGCGTTATTTTGACGGGATGGATCTTCAGCTATTTCATTCAGGTGGCAAGTGTCCAATAGAAATGTTTCCGGCAGGTAATGAAGGTGTGTTTGTGCTTGTACAAGGACAGTCCGTGAGCCTGCCCAGTGCAGGAAGACATCTTTGTGGGCAGGGACATGTTGCAAGAGCTTGCTTTCTTTCTGGCCAGCATCTTGATTTCCTGTGCATGTTCTGGCATTCTTGAGGGCCTGAAGCTTCAGATCCTCTTGAAAGGTCCTTTTGACTGCGGGTCTGGAGCACCGTGCCCACGTTTCCTCTTGTATGGTCAGACCAGGTGTCCTGATTGCTGAGGATTTCCATACTTCATCTGAAGCCATATTTCTTTGTCATGGACTTGGAAGGGAAGAATCACTTGCCAAGCATGGGCGAAAAGTTGTGGAGTTCGAGGTCCTGGCTTTGATTCCATGCACTGCAGAGTTGCTGACCATTGCAGCTTACTCAGTGCGCCGAGCTTCGTTGAGCTGTGTCACGCGTTTAGTCGGTGAACGAAAGGGAATTCACACTTGATTTCAGGATCAAGAGTGGGGACGCTCGTAGACGTCGGTGGTACACACGTTAAGTGTTTGATGGGGGTTGGCCATGATAGCTGGTGTTCGCAAATTGCATCGGTATCATTGAGGCAGCAATGGCCGTGGTTAATGCCTCAATGCCTTGCATGATCGTGCAGCATCATGGAATGAGAGCCCTCTCGTATTGTGGCTTGTTGTTCGGGGACCTTTGGCTTGGATGCGATGGCTAGCCTAGACATCTGCCAAACGTGGTGTGCAACTGGCATGCTTGTCTTGCGCATGTATTTCGGATGTGATTGCAGGCTCATTCTGTAAGCCGCATCGAAGGGAAGCCCCATTGTTGTCCAGGTTTTGATTTCCGAAAGATGTTGGATATGTTGCCGAACTCTACTCCTTTGAGGTGATTTTGTGCAGAGAGATTGCCAAGACATTAAGAACCGCTGAGGCCTTAGGACAGGTTCGTACTGGCCTCGGCCAAAGTTGTGTTCGGCAGCTTGGGAGATCATGTTGCATTGACAGGAGTTGGGACCTTGGATGCATACGACTCAAAGCTGTGCTTCTTTTGTTTCGGGACACAGCGAACTATTTGCTTTCCCCCCCTCGAAACCTACAATTTTATCTAAAATCATTGCTGTTGCGATGAAACATGCCATTTTGTGCCGTACTGTTTCTGACCTCTAGACTTCCAAAACTCCAGAATCCCAGAATTCCAGAATTCCAGATTTGCAAGCGTTTAGAATTCCAAAATTCCTGATTCGCAAGGCCTTGTAATTCCAGAATTCCAAATCTGGAACTCTGGAATTCTAACCCTTGCAACTCTGGATTTCTGGAATTCCGGGATTCTGGAATTCTGATTGCTTGGATTATAGTATTCTGCAAGTCTGTACATGTAAAAGTTTTGGAAATTAGGGGGGCCTCGGCTTCTAGAGAAAATTGAATACATAAGGGGCTCATAAGCCCGGGTTGGCTTTGCTGCGCTTTGCTGCGCTTCAAGACGTCTTTAATGCCAATTCACCTTCGTTACCTGAAAAACCTTCCTCGACAGTCATTTTCATGTGTATGAAAAGCCGACATATGTAAAGTCTACAGAAGTCATTCGACGCCCAAACCAAAACAGTTTCTGCAAAGTCTGAAGAGTCTTTGTACATTCCTTCTGCAAACTAGTAAGGGCCTGACAACAATCTTTATATCGCCGCAAAACAAACCACGTGCAGCCTGAATAGAGCTTCCAGATAGTCAGCCATTTCATAAATGAATGCGAGTGCTCATGCTGTCCCTACGCACTTCCTATATAGCCCAGATGAAATCAGGAGCTTGAATTTTGATAACCTCCTGCATCATATATGCTGATCCCGTGTAATTAATTTATGAAACAGGGATATCCATAGATTTGCTCCATAAACCAGTCACCATGCATATGCAAATACAAACCCTGTAACAGGCTTTTGCAAATCCAAAATTACCGCAGTCGACTCTCATATGAGTTCGATGAAACACAAAGGCCTAGTCTTTTTACGAAAAACGCTCCATAAATGGTAACTATTCGGGTGCTTATTTGGAAAGCTTGCTAGCGGCCCTCAAAGTTCTAGTGTATAGCAGGAAATAAAGAGCTTGGTAACATCGTCTAAATTTAGCGAAAATTGCTAAGCACAACATTCAATGAGAACGGAAGCCTGGTAAGATTTTCCTACATCACATCTTGGGGACAGTACGACACTTCTCCTACGCCAGTCTGCGCGAGGTTTGTTGTTAGTTGTTTGTGCACACAGGTCCAGTAAGTTAAGGATCTCATGAGATGTTTTTGTTGAAGCCTTCCGAAGACACACATCAGAAGTCTTCATTAAGATCTTTAGCTGGTGATCCTCATCAGGAGCTTATCACGCATTCTTCAGTCTCATTGGAAGTCTTAATTGGCTCTCTTGTGTATATTCATGTCGTGCTCTCAATAACAGATCTTGCTCAAAATCGTTGGCAAAGGTCCTTATCGCAGTCTGACTCGAATTGCAGCAATCAAGCCTATTAGGAATCCACCTTGGGAAGCTTTATTTAGGGTCCATGTTTAGTCTGCGGTGCCAATTGACCATTTAATTCAATCAGCTAGGCTCGAGCACAGACATACCCCTGCCCCGGGGAAGCCCAGCTCGATCCTGTTGCAATTTGACAGTTTTACTTCCATTGTCTTGTTGCACCATTTTTCTATCGCCGTAGTGGCTTTTGCTTGCACTAATACAACTTACGTTAAGATACCACATAGGCTATGGCCGAAGCGGATGCGGCAGAGACTGGCATGGCGCCGGCGGCGTTGCTGACTGACACTCCTTCTCTTCCAGGAATTACGCAAGATCCGGGACTTGATGGCACGTTCTTGCTGACAGAAACATTCCTAGGACCCACCTTAGCCTCCAAGCTCTTAAAGATGGAAAGTTCCACTTGGTTACCCACAACACCACACAGGAGATTCCCAGAGAAACCTATGACGGCCTCCTTGCAGCCCATCATGCTAAGAATCGTACCAGTGACATCTCCTTAGCCTATGGGATTACAGGATGTGCTTTTCATGTCAGCATAAAAACTGAGTCAGCTCCGGAAGACCCCATAGAGTGGGGTGACATTGATCCTGAACTAGCAGTCCATTGAACCAGATTTGCATAAGCGCACTCTCATCCTACATGGAGTACCCCCTTTCTCCAACAAGAGATCCATCGATGGCGATCTGAACTACTTACTTTATGAGGCCCAACTTGCGTTAGATGATGTACAGTCACTCTCCAATCATTTGTTGACCACAAGTTCAGGTTTCATGAAACTGGCTCTGTTGAGAGAACAGCATGCCAAAACCTTTTTTACCTGCTTTAGGGCTAAGAAGAGGTACTTCGTACCGAGGACCTTAACTCGTATGTTCCAGACACTCCCCTGAAGATCGAAAGAGATCTAAGTGTACTTGGAAGATTGGAACGACAGCCTGTGTTGGCACATCCCAACCAAATTTCAGTTCGACAACCGTGGCTTCAGGGCGCAGACTTGCCAGAATCTGCGCCGTTTTTTGGAGCGGGAAAATATCCCGATTCCTGAGTGGCTATGGGCGCCAAGGACTTCCGTAGCCACAAGGGCGTCAGAGAACAGCTCGAGCTGCGGCGTAGGCAGTCTTTTGGCTACGGAAATTGCCAGCCGCGCACCTTTCCAGGCGGTCCAGCCTCTGCAGAAGGCAGTCGGAGAGGCTTGCAGCGCTGAGGAGAGAAGCTGGGCCTCGAAAACGCGACCAGCTAGCTGAAGCTGCAGCTGCTTCTGCAGCTGCTGAGAACTTGCCCGAACAAGGCGCAAGAGATTCAAGCGTGTCAGATGTGGAGGATCCCAGAGCAACTCGCTCGGATCCTGGACGACTGGAAAATGCCAAGTCCGATTCAGACAGCTCAAGCGACAGCAACTTGGAAGTGAATGCTGCTGGGCCTGCTGCAAGCACCTTGCCTGCAGAAGGCGCTACAGCCGCGACAGTTCCAGAAGTCTCTGCGCCAAGCAGCCTGGCAGGGTCCTGGTGACCGAGGCTGAGTTGGCAGCTGCTGCAGATGCTGGTCCCAGCTTGCCTGCGCAGGGCGCAGAAACCCCAGTTGCTGCAGAGAGCCTGTCTGGAGGGGACTTGATGAGCGTCGCTGGCTCATCGCAGGCTGCGCTCCAGACGCTTCAAGTTCATCCTGCCCACACCGCGTCAGACAACACATCCGCAGAAGCCGGCATTAACAAGCTCTTCACTACCACGGAGCCGCTTAGCGAGTTCTTAAAGCTGGTAGCGTCTTGGTCAGCACGACGCAATGTGCAACTGGCTGTCTCGCGCTTGGCCGGTGAGAAAAACGTGTGGGCAGATGAGCTCAGCAGATCCAAGCTGCAACGCTTCGCAAGACGCATGGCTGACAGGGAACGCATCCCCCTGGACATGCTCGCTAGCCCGCAAGGCGTCGTGACATTGCACCCATTGCACGAGCATGGGCACAGCCTCTCTTAGACGCACAGCACACAGGCTAACCACAGTCTCTGCATCCGCAGGCAAAAGGCTTTCGCTAGCACCGCCTGCTTTGCTTGGCACTTGGTATCGCGTGTACTTCCGCTTGCTGCAGGTACTACCTCCTCTGACGCGGGGGGGGGGTACGACTTTGTCACAGCGGCGCTCGAACCTAAAGTGGGGGTATGAATCCTTCACTTGCACCGCGTTGCATATTTCGAGCGCCTCGTGCCAAAAAGAGTTAGCTGTCCGTCGCTGTAACGTTCTTGAGCCAAGCGTAGGAAATATCACACTTGAACGTTGCATGTTTTTATTTTGTCATGCATGTTTTAGTTGTATTTACCTACCCTTGGTAATGTGCACTATTTCCGTAGCTTGGCTCAGCCGCAGGCTTAGAAATTTTTCACCCGCCCACCGCACCCTGGGTTATAATATAGCACGCACTGCTATCTTTGTGTCCGCACTGATACCCTTAGGCACGTATTGCTTCGCGCAGCTCGCATAGCAGCATTTCTCAGTCATCTTGTTCACCTACGTTTCACTGCAAGGGTATGAATCCTTCACTTGCACCGCGTTGCATATTTCAAGCGCCTCGTGCCAAAAAGAGTTAGCTGTGCGTCGCTGTAACGTTCTTGAGCCAAGCGTAGGAAATATCACATTTGAACCGTAAACGCATCAAGAAATCAGCTCGCAAGGAGAAGAAGATTTTTATCTGTAAGCATTTGGAGTTGGGTTTCCATGGCACCACGATCCAGCAATGGGACCACATACGCTCCATCAAGCTGGTTTCAAAATCAGCTAGAGCAGACACTTTCGCGGATTATTTGGCGGACAAGGTTTGGCATTCTGAGCAAGATCTCCCTGTTCCCGTTACCGCCCCTTCTCTTCAGATACAAGACATGAATTCTCCTTTTACTGTGCATGAACTTAACCTAGCCCTTCGCAAAATCAAGTCCGCTAAGGCACCGGGTCCTAATGGACTGGTGGGCAAACTGTATAAGCATGCCCCGTACATTCTTCGTATGTACTTTCTCGATCATTACAACCAATATTTTGCTACTAAGGAGGTCCCCTCTAGCTGGGACTTGCGGGGACTTTTCGGAAGTTGTTATGATAGTGCAGAATTACCAAAAGGACACTCATTCTTTTTCCAATCACCATCCCATTTCCTTGACCATATCTCGTACAAGATTTTTGCTTCTATGATCCAGGCTAGACTCTCCAGGCACCTTGACTCAAGGATCCGCCCTACACAATTTGGATTCCGTAAGTCACGCTCCACTACCCAACTTATTCATATCCTCAGGCGACTCCTAGAGGTTCACGGGAGACAGCCTTCCCCCTTACATGCTCTGTTTCTCGATTGGTCTAGGGCATTCGATTCGATTCTGTTGCATTTATTTCAATCAAGTCTGCTATGCAGTTCTTCGGAGTCTGCGAGCATGTTTTGGAAGTGGTTATGTCCCTTTATTGAGCTCCCTCCTTTGTAGTTAGAGATTCCCAGCAAACGTCCCTCAAGAAAGTTCAGACCAAAGGACGTCGGCAAGGATGCCCCCGTTCTCTTTATTTGTTCAGTATGCTGCTCACGCACCTATTCTACGACTTTGAGGAAGAATACCTTCTCAAATATGGATTAATCTCAGGGGTTATCAACACCCCCTCCCCACTTTAGGATTTAGAGCACGCTGATGACACCGTGCTCCTTTCTTATTCAGCAGAGCAGATTACAAGGCTATTACATTGAATACAATTTGAAGGTTCCCAAAGAGGTCTCTTTCTAAACGAAGACAAGTGTGAGCACCTCAGACAAAAATCTCTGACTCCAGAGTATTTTATGCCCCCGTCCCTTATTCCACTAATTGTACTTGTGAAGTATGTAATGGACACTTACGTTCTGACAATCCTGTCCCCGTTCATCCGAAGTTAAATACTTAGGTGTGTATGTTTCTTCCTCTGGTCCGCGTAAAAATGTTAGCTATAGAGTCTCGTGGGCAATACATGCCTCGAAGCTCCTTAAGCCTCTCCTTGCTCATGCTTTTTACCCCCTTCTTGGAAGCTCACGGTGTATAGATCCATCGTGCAAGCAATGCGAACTTTTATCTCATGCTCAAATCACAAAGCTATACAAAGCTCTATTTCATACATTGTAAATTTTCTAAGAAGGGTCTTTAAGGTAAAATCCTCGTACTACCATCGAGTCATTGAGCGTTCTATGGCAGAATGCTCTAATGAGTTTTTTGCAGGCCTTGCGTATAGGTCCAAACGGGTAATGACGCCTTCTCAAATTTATTCTCATGATAAACTCCGACTGTTTGGCCACATGCTGCGGCACCCGGAATCTCTGGAGTTTCATTCGGCATTCATGCCTTCCGGCTATATATCCACCTCTGGTCCCAATAGGACAGGCAGACCCAGACTACGCTGGACAGAATCTTGTATGGTGGAATCCTCCAGCAGGATTGATTATGTCTTATCCGATTCACCTCCTATGTTCGGACATCCATAACTCTGATTTCGATATCCCAATGCTAGCTCTGTCAGAGCATCCCATGCAGGCCAGAGCCTAGTGTGGATGGACAACACTCTTCTTTACCGCTTCTAATAGAGCCCAATGGAATAAATTACTCCATAAACCACGGCGTGCTGATCCTTTTAGCTGATTTTTTCGTTGGTGCTGACGGGCTTTGCAGCAAGCCTTGTGCAGAGGAAAAAATTCAATCCTCTATCCACATGCCTAATGGGAGCCCTACTTCTACAAAGAGTACCTCTGAGTCAGATTCATAGGGATGTTGGCTGATGAGCTCTACTGGGGCTTCTGAATGATGAGGGGTCCAAGCTACATCTGAAGTGCTCATCGCAGGAAGCCTTATCAAAGGTTCTTATTAGGAGTTAAATCTAAGTTGTTCGTAATCACTTTGGTGGGAACCCTGAGTAAGGAGTCTGCATAACGCTGCATGCAAGGACATCTGTCTAGTGATCGTTATGTGAGCACGGACTTATATGAGGACATCTAAATCGGTATGTTTGTTAGGGAGCTGCTTCCTTGAATTTCTCAGAAAACATACTTCTCTGGAATCTGCGGTAGCGTCCTTGTGAGAATGTTTACCGAGATGAAGCTTATGATGGGTGTTTGCAAGTCGTACCTGAGACAGAGAGGGTCAACATAGCAAACATGTAGATTCCGGCGAGTAAGCAAATTAGACATGTCAGCTTTGGGTCGTAAATTCAAAATTGCTGTTTGAGGGATGAGTTTCATCCCAACGGAATAACTCAGACAGGGATGGCTAGTGAAGATGTATTTTTTTTTTGTTTTTTTTTTTTTTTTGGTTT